TTATGCACTTCATTCATGGTATTCTCAGTATCCTTCTGTAGAACCACAGGTGCCTCTAGATTTTTCCTCATCTGTGGGGAGATTGCACAGCATGCCCTGCCATATAATAGGATGGATATTACATCGCAATCCAGCACTCTTTTCTTTATTTCTAAAAAAGTTTTCAATTTCTTGGTACCATGTTTAACTTTTGTAATACTACTTTCATTAGTCCAATATGTTTTCAGATCTCGATGTCACGTTTTCCATCCTCTGTTAAAGTGCTTCTCAGAAATTTAAATATCCATACCTACTTGATGTTTATATTTCTAATTTGTAACTCACTTAAGGTGGCCTGAAAAAGCACGATACAAACCTTTATATTATATTATTGTTATTGCCTCAAGTCATGGACATAACATGTTCTTGGATCTTGCATCAGAACGACTGGGAAAATGTGAATTAGTAGATAATATGATCATTTTAAGATGAGATAAATTTTTTCGTCTGTTGGGGGCAAAAACTTCTTATGGTATAATTATAGCTCTGAATCTTAGAAGATTTATTTTGAAGTTGTTCCTTTGATATACTATGTTTGCTTTGCACATTTCTTTTTCACTATCAAAGTGTAGTATCTGTTCTCCTAATCTCTAATGGTAATGATATTATAGGCATACAGAAGGCGATTATCTCCCTTTCATTGAAGGTCACATGACAGCCAGTGAATGACATCAGAGGGTAAAATGATGAAGGGCAGTTGTGATGCAATGCCCACAAAGAAGGATGTCCCTAGGCCACAACAGTAGTTCTTACAGGAAAAAACATACAGCATTACCAGTTTCATAGAGAAACTGCTGTAACTTCAGTTTTCCCTTCAGGAAACATTACAAATAAAGCTCCCTTTTTTACACACTGCTTGATGTTGCATACATGTTATAACTTCTCTATGTGGAACAAATGTATATATGTATATGTAAATATATGTATGAATTAGCATCATAAAACTCTCTCAGGGTAAAAGCATGTTTGTCATTCCTTTTTCTTTCAGCTATTCTGTCCCATCTGTGTAATACAATGTTATTATATCATGGATATAATAATGCCCATAATGGGGGAAAATGAAAATGGGAGAATAACTGTTTCTTCCATAGTGCACCTATTAGTATTATTAGCTGTTTCCTTATAAGGAAACATTTGGCATTCATTGACCAAACAACCAGTCCCACTACTCGCTACAATTTTATTCACTCCCTGACCATGGGACTAAGATTAAAGTGTAGTGTCTGCTAGCCTCATCTTTAACGGTAATGGTAATATGAACTACTCCCTTATAAAAAAACATTTGGCAGTCATTGAGCCAATTCTTGAATTGGTTAAAATTTAGAAAATCTTTCTATTAAAACAATTTTTCATGAAAATACGTTTCTCCAATCCACTGTTATTACTCTTCCCAGTATTGATGGGGGTTTCCTTCCTAACCTTTTGTTTGAAGTTGTGTGGAACATCAACATCTTGATTATTTCATTATTCTCTCTTCAAGTTACATGTGCTATTCATTTTAGTTTTTGCTGCTGTTGAAAGTCCTACAGTGATGTCATTTCTGTTATTTGACACAGTTTTTTGTTCATTATTCTACAGTGCCAGTTCACAAGGTTCAAAGAAGGATGGTTCATCCTGAAATTTATGAGCTTTATTCACTCAAAGCTTTTTTAATGATGGATCAGAGAAAGCAGTTGTATACTACAGCTGACAGTTTAGATATTTTATTTGTAGCTGCTATTGAAAGTCCTCAAGTGATGTGGTTTCCTTGATGTGATAGAGTTCTTTTTTTGAGATTCTATAGCACCAGCCCATTAGGTCCAAAGAAGGGTGGTCTTTGCCAAGACATACAGGCTTCAATTGCTCAAAGCCATGGTCAAAGGAAGCAGTTGTATACAGCTAACAGTTTAAATATTACTAAATGACTTTGACACCATACATGACATCTATATGAAAATCACAATCTGTCAAGGCTGTTTAGGTTATTTTTTACTGGTTTTAATCAACACACTATCTGGAAAACCTTCAAACTGTGTAGAAGAATTTAATTATTCAGGTAGTAAAATCTCTAGTTGCGAAAGTGATGTAAATAAAAGCATTGGTAAAAACCTGGGGTGTTGTCAATAAGTTATGTCTTGTGTAGAGGTCTGAACTTCCAGACAACATCAAAAATAGTCTCTTTCAAGCAACTGTTATCTTTGTTCTATTGTTTCAACATGGACCCTTACCTCAAATATCATTGGTTTATCAAGGCTTTTAATTTGAATGTTCTCAAATCTATAAGCCTTGATAAAGGCATCTTTTAAGCTAGTATATATATATATGAAGACAAAAGGAAAACTTATCTGATATATTTCGGTCTCTGGTAGTCATTATCAAGGCAAATGTAAGGGGTTGATAAAGTACATCAGAGCACAAAACACATTGGTTAAGATAAATTTTCCTTTTATCTTTATTTATATTATCCTTTTACAGATTTTAGTTATATATGAAATTTTGCACACACCCATGCACACACATATAATTGTGTGTATGTGTGTGTATGTGTGTGTGTTCAAGTGTGGATATATATGCTTAGGTTTTAAGTTAAGAAAAATTTATTTATGTTAGTTGTGTTGTGTTGATACGATTGTTTGAAGCATAAAATTTTGTTATATTGTATGCCTGAAAAGGTCCCAGCACTTTCTCTTTTATTTGAAAAAAAATTATTTTTATTCATTTTTTGAAAGCAAGACAATGCTTTACCAGAAAACCTTTTTTTCTTTAAAAATCAAGCATACAAACAAACTCTGGATCCTTTTACACACAAACTTCATATATATATATATATATATATATATATATATATATATATATATATATATGTGTGTGTGTGTGTGAATGTAAAAACTACTTTTGTAGGTTCATTTAGTTGAAGGTGCTGCTAAAAACAGCCCTTTTATTCTGCAACCACATGCACTCAAATGGACAACCATTTGTCATCAATTCTTTTTATTACTTCTCCATTCTTGGGCCTAACCCTGGCCATAACTTTACTTGATTCTAAATCTTGTAAATCCACACCACCCACTTATACCCTCCCTCCTAG